AAACAAACAAACAAACTCCTGATACATAGACAACATAGATCTTTTATGCTAAGCACAATTGTTAAGTCAGGCGCAAAAGATATCATGTGTCATGAGTTCATTTAAATGACAGTCAAGAATGGGCAGAACTAGTTTATAGTGATAGGTATCAGAATAGTGGTTGACCTATGCAGGGCAATGCATTATTTAATATAGCTCTTCAACCCAAAGTTTTTGTAATTCCCAACAAATGACCTTTTCCTGTAGGGGTCTGGGAAAGAAGGTGGAGGAAGACATTGATAAGATTCACCTATGAGTAATTGCCAAGAGGCTTCACTGGACTGCCACCAACTGCATATAAAATGAGCCCCCCAAGAAGCAAGAGGAGGATCTCACTACCAGGAAGAACTAGGAGTGGAGTGCTTTCTTTAGACCCTGAGACCCCTAAGCATTGATCCTCCATGATCCATAAGACAGCTTAACATCTGAGGAGCGGCAGAGGTGCAGCAGCAGCAGAACCAGGAGCCAGAGCACGAGACAGTACAAGTAAAGCTGAGTGCTTTGGGAAAAGAGGCTGACTTACGAAATAGGGTGCCTCTTGGCATTCAATGGATGTGGTACTTACATAATTTTATGTCCAATTGAAGAGTTATAAAAGTGTAGGAGTGGTACTCAACCTATTAATCAGGTCACAGCCTGATGGTGCCTTCTTGTGGGCATGGTCTTCTCATAAGGAGAGCCGAAGGAACCTCCCCCTCTTTCTGCCTTCACCTTCCTGCTTGCTGACCACTCTAAGAGCTGCTGGAGCCCTGCCATGTATCCACTGATCTCAGATCCATATGGCTTTGCAATCACCAGCCTGTGATCTTACATTCTGCATCACCACACATGTGGTAGTTACATAATCTCATGTCAATCTGAGGGTATTAGGAGTGAGGGTGGAGTCTAGTCTGTCAATCAGGTCATTGCAATGATGCCTCTGTGTGGGCGTGGCCTTCTCATGAAGATTCTGGGGCTAATATCAGACTATGGGCTAATATCCAACTTATGGACTTGATCTGGACTGGGCTGGGATGTTTTATAAATGCTTAATTACTTTTCATTATAAAGTTATATGAGCGTCTCTGGATTTGTTTCTCTAGTCAGCCCGGCTGACACAGCATGTATGTGGCTGCATGAGTCTGAAGAGGGACTTAGGACTAGTAACAGACATGGACTTGAGCTGGACTGGGCTGGGATGCGTTCTTGATATATAAAGACTTCAGGATGTAAAGCTCCTTCTTACACATCCATGAGTATCACTGGATTTGTTTCTCTAGTCCACCCAGCCTAACACAGTCGGGGAGGGGAGGCTGGGTTTTCTGGAACCCTCACAGTAGAAGTTGAATGCCTTTGGGTTGAGACTTACAGCAGAGTGCCATTCCCTTCAGGCAGTCATTAGCAGCCCTGAAAGAATTTTGCAATATATCTGGCTTGTACAACTGTATGCTGAGTGCTTCTCACCTCAATTGCAACCTTTTAACATCCTGATTTAGCCCTTTAATCATGAATATTGCTTGTGAGTAGTGTGTGGCCACTGCACTGAATTATAGAACCTACAGGAAAAGTAGAGGGCGAGTATGAAAGCAAACACCTTATGAAAGTATTGCCTGAGAAAGAGCAATATAGAACTTTCTAGAGTGATAGAAATGTTCTATATTTTGATCTGGGTTTCAGCAGGGCTGATAACATGTATTTAAACTTAGGGTGAGGTGAAATTTTCTAATATGGATCTTCTATTCATGTCTCTGCACTCTCATCAAATAAATGAGCTGGACCATGCAAACAGAGAATGTAAAACACTAATAGAGGGGACAGGTCACTTTTAATTGCCACTACCCAGCTATGAGAATCAAGAAGACAGAGGGAATTTCTGAGATCATCAAGGGAAAAAAGCAGAACATGTTGCAAATCTCTGCCTGAAGCAGCGGAGGCAGCAGACACCATGCCACTGACACAAGAGGCCAAGACAAGGGGAGCAGAGGAGCACCAAGCACAGAGATGAGGAGACTGTGAGGCAGAGCGGCAGGCCAGCTTTCTGGCCCTCGAGAAGAAAGGCTAAGGGACCAGAGAGAGATTTGGTTTCTGGCTAAGGAGAGGCGTAATGGTGGCCAATTACTATAATCTTAATGTCTTATAATCCTGACTTGTAACCTGCTGACTTCCTCAATTAATCCACATAATTATATTATCTATGAGTTCTGAGTGGCCATTGCAAGTCCAGGCGCAAAATGGAGTCTCATAGGAGGAGCAGTTAGTGTCAGAATAAAGAAGAACGGAGAGTAGAGGCACATCTGAACTTGGCTTTATAACAGTGAGCCTTGAGGTGGTGAGGTGTTGGAGTCTCCTTCTCCCTTGTGTAGTCAGAAAAGGTCAGGTATGGCCCTATGCTATTTAACACAAAGTTGTACAGTTAACAGAATCACTTAGAAAATGCAGTGAACACAGCCTTGCTTGCTGAAAAGTATAGAATACCTTAACCATTTACTGATGAAGATCAATGATGACAGCCTTCAGCATGGATTACATCTCAATATAAAGACAACAAAAATCCTGACCAGACAAATACACACCTTGCTAAGCAGAGAAAAGTATGATGTTATCATGGATTTCATTTTACTTGGATCAACACTCATAGAAGCAGCTTCATATGAGTTTCATATGGCTATGAGCAACACTCACAGAAGAGTAAAGATTTGACTTTGAGACTAAGTTGAACCTGTGCCAACCATAGTATCTTCAGTCACTTCATGTGCTTTTGAAAACTAGAAAATGTACACGGAAAACTACAAAATAGATCCATCTGAATTATGGCATTGGTGAAGAATATTAAAAGTACCATGCACTGCCAGAACAAACAAATCTGTCTTTGAAGAAGCACAGTTAGAAGCGAGAATGACAAGACTTGGAGAAACAAGTCCTTGGAGAAGGATATCATGAAAGTCAGCCAAAACAGAAGACTCTCGAGCTGGATCAACACAGTGGTTGCAAGGCCACACTCCTGGGACGGCCTAGGTTGTACATAGGGCCACTGCGAGTCAGAATGACTGGATAGCCCCTATATATGTAAATTATACACATAAAGTGCTCTTAGCTTTATTTTCAAAACTTAAAAAGTTATTTAAATTTTATTTCTTTCTGTTAATTAAAAATATCTCATATAATCAATATGCAGTAAAAATTATCTACGAGTCCAAGATGGCTCATTTTGGGAATGGAAAGGAAATAATCCTGAGTAGCTGAGGTGAAAACAAAGTATGACAATGCACTGTGTCTCTTGAAGGAGGAGAAAAAAAGATGTTGGAATTAAAATTGTCTGAAAAATTCAGACTACAATCTAGGTTGAAGGTGAAATTGATCAAGAAAATGCTTTTAAACATTATTCATGTTTCTCTAAGCTTTTCTGATTAAGTTATACATTGTTTCTTGAGTACTAGAGAAAAATGGTATTTAATTCTTAATAGAATCCTGGATTTAATTGAATGTTATTTTGTAAATTAGAATTTACTCAATTCTCACTTTAAAAGAGAGTTTGAGGAAACTTTGTTCATTGTGGGAGTAAAAAAAATTCTTCAAATGATATCTAGAACATTTCATTTAAAACCTTATGGTCTTCCCTTACCCCCGGGGAGTCATTACTCCTGTTACTGTTTCTTAAGTTATCTATCTTAACTTTCATGTATCAAACAATCTTAATTATACAAATTAAGCATATGCAGGTCTAACATGATCAATGAAGTAAAATGAGAAGTGAGAGGAAAAAGAGGGTAGGGGGAGCTGATAGCATTGATGAATGTATAACCCCACTAGAGGGGAATGAATAACAGAATTGTAAGTGAATGGATACACTGTATTGTGTAAGATATGGCAAGCAAACAAACAAATAAATAATACAGTAATAAGGGTTCAGGGGGGGCTAAGGTGGGGGAGGAAGGGGACTAAAAGGGAGCAGATATTAAAGAGTTCAAGAAGAAAGAAAATGTTTTGAAGCTGATGATGGCAACAATTGTACAACTATGCTTGATCTAATTGAATTATGGATTGTTATAATATTTGTAAGAGCTCCTAATAAAATGATTAATAAAAATATTAAAAATAAACCTTAAGGTCTTGTTAATGTCACCAAATTACAAATTTAATTTTTTATCTGTGGCAGTAGATTTTATGTCGACTTGAACCTGTGTGACAGTATGGGGGGAGTCCTGGTGATACCTCCTGGGGGTGTGGCTTTTTATGAGAGACACTGGAAAATTTTCTCCTCTCTGGCCCTTCCCCTTCCTCCTTTATAGGACTCTGTCTCTACCTCCAGGGATGTGGCATATGGACTGCTGACTGACAGAGCTGCAGGCATCCTGCCATGTTCCCACTGACCTTGGGTCCACACAACTCTGACTCACTAAACTTCGATCACCTTGTTTCCCACATTACCTTTCTGAGCCATCAGATTGCAATTACGTGGATCTGAAGAGGGCCCAGGTTAGCATTGGACTGGACCTCTGGACTGGAGCTGAAGTGGTCTGGGACAGCTTCTCATATAAAATCACATATTGACAGATGGATTGTCTAAAGACTTATAAGAGCCCCCCAAAAAAATGATTAATAAAAAAAGAAAATATATATGTGTTGATATAAAGTTCTTTCTTACACATGAGTGTCACTAATTTTGTTTCTCTAGACAAACCAGTATCTTTAGAAGGAAAGATGGCTTTTAAATACTACTTTTGATTATTTTCAGTGGATTAAGTAAATGAAGGTAGCAACACAATCAGATTTGGAAAGGATGTGTGTTCCTGTGTGCATGGCTTCACTCCACTCCTATACCAGCAAATTAGAAATGCAGTTAGCAATACTCACCTTACTAACCTGATTCTCAAGGTATTTCTTGAAGCAATCAGAACTTGCTATACATTGTCTACATTTCCAACAATGAAGAATAGTTATTTCTTCTTGATTATGATTTTGAGTTATCAATTCTTCAATCCTTTTCTTTTTTTTTTTCTTCTTCAATCCTTTTCATCTGTAAGAACATTAATAAATATTTAGAATAATATACTGTATCAAATCAGCTTGATTTTCAAAAGCTTTAACACAACATTAGCTACATGTAGACCAGAAGAAAGAGAGATACCTTTTATTGAGGACTTAACAGCTACTTGGCCTTAGACTATGAGTACACTCTGAACCATATCTGGGGATGAAAGGTTCGTTTAACTATGATGATGATACATTATGTCTGCCAACTACCTACCTTTTTTTCTTTTTGAAGAACATTTTATTCTTCTGCTGATCACTCCTTAATAATAAAGGGTAAATGCCAAAGAGTTAAATAAGTTACCTTAATAGGTTTAAAAGGAGACCTGATGGAACAAACAGTTAAATACAATAGTAACTAAGTTCCATTATATGACTTTTTGCCTTAATTTTTAGAAAAACAGTTTAAGCATGTGTTCCTACACTTGTCTTAGTGGCCTGCTGTAAAGGGCTTATTATTTTATCCAAGTTGGGTCCTTTGATAATTAGGTTTTCTGCCCTGGTGGTATAGTGGTTACACATTGGGCTGCTAACCAATAGATCGGCAGTTTGAATCTATCGGCTGCTCTGTGGGAGAAAGATGAGGCTTTCTATTCCCATAGAGAGCTCATATTAGAAACCCACGTGGTCAGTTCTATGAGTCAGAAGGGATTCAATGACAGTAAGTTTTTGGTTTGGTCAAATTGGCAGGGCCAGGATCTTCAGAAGTTGGCAGATAAGACTCTCCTGTAAGATGCAAGTCACAGCCTGGTGATGTCTCCTTAGAGTATGGCCTATTTCATAAATAGACATCTGTAAATAGACACTGGGGAGCACTTGTTTCTCACTCTTCTTCCTGCTTGCCTGGATCCTGAATCTAGTTTCTTGGGACTTGGAAAGACATCCAAATATGTAGCGTGCCACTTGAGAGCTGTCGGTGGGCTGCCATGTATCTAGCTGAGCCCGGATCCATTCATCTCAGCCTCCAGCAGCCTGCCTCCTCTTTTACCCTCCTGTTTCCTGGTTCATCAGCTGGCAGCTTCATGTCCTGAGAAGAGCCTTCAACTTAGCACCTGATTCACCGATTTGAGTTCGACTGGGCTTACCCCCTTCTGTAGCTGTGTGAACCACTTTTTTGATATACATTTCTTTTTCATATATGAGTGTCACTGGTTTTGTTTTCTAGAAAACCCAGCCTAACACAATGCCATCTCCAAGTTGTAAATAACTTAAAGCTTAATACGTTTTATCTGGTCTTGATCTGCACCCCGCCTTATGATTTGTATGCACCTTACAGGTACTGGTCAATTTCTTATGTAAGAATATGTAAATTATGTCACTACAGTCTACTACACAAATGAACTATCTGTGGCCTACCAAGAAGGGAATGATCAGCCCATAACCAAGGTGAGTAGGCCATGCCTTAAAATGGATAAAGAACTTCTAAATACAAATATAAATAAAATAGTATTCCCTTTTAAAAATCACAGGAACCTTCATTAAATATATAAAAATGTGAAACTAGCTTCCATCTATGTCTATACATTTCTGAAGATCCTGTTTATATCTTTCTTTTACAACCTTCCCTGTAAGTACTCCTCAATTTACACTAGTCAGAATAGCAGTTCTGACATCCTTGCGAGATTCGAATCAAGTTCCTTTTCAATGTTCTTTCATATTTGAGAACCCTCCCCACCCCAAAAAAGTCTGAAGTAGCAAAATCAGCATTGTAGGACAGGTTAGGTAAGATTTCCCAACAAAATTCTCACAACACAGCTCTTGCTATCCTCAAAAAATGTACAGGTGCATTTTTTGTGATAAAAACAAACTTCAGTGAAATTTTCCTGGAATTTTCCTCAAAACTGAAATTTTCCATTTTATTTAAGCTTCTTCATAATTAGTCCCCACGATCATACTGTATCCTTCAGGAAACCCATCAGAGTTACCAATTTGGAATTACAGAAACAGACCCTTTTCTGAGTTGACCTCAATGCTTTGACTTCCTTAAAATGCTTGATCCATCTAAAAATTGTTGCTTTATGTGAGGCAGCATTTCTGTAAATTTGCTGCAAAGCTTCAATAATTTGTGTAGATGTCTCCTTTACTCTTGTTAAAATTTAAGATTAGTCATAAACTCGAAATCAGTTTTTCCCAAGACACAAAAAGTCTATTTTTCTTTTTGAAGACACTCTAACAAGATTGCTGCCGTTGTTGTTGGGTCCTGTCAAGTCCGTTCCAACTCAATGGTAACTGTGGTATTACGTAATCTGGTGTCAACTTGTGAAGGGGTGGACTCTAGCCTGTCAATCAGGTTACTCCTTGATCACATCATTTGGGAGGAGCAACCAGAAATAAATAGCTCACTGGAGGCCACATACACGCTCACTCCCTGTGAGACAGTTCTGCTGACAAGACCCATGGAGTTAACACTAGAGTCCTGGAGCTGGAGAAGCCATGTGGAGACCCTTACCAGCACTGAGATGCTTCTACTGCCAATGGATCCACAGACTTTCCACCCACTGGCTTGTGATCTTTCTTCACTCAGCATCATTGCATGTGTTGTGTGAGTCTGAAGAGGAATTTATAGAATGGTTTCAGACATATGGGCTAATATCAGACTCATGGACTTGATCTGGACTGGGCTGGGATATTTTCTCAAATACATAATTTTCTTTGAAATAAAGTTCTTTCTTATACACGAGTCTCCCTTAATTTGTTTCTCTAGTCCAGGGGTCCTCAAACTTTTTAAACAGGGGGCCAGTTCACTGTCCCTCAGATCTGCTGGAGGGCCAGATGATAGTTTAAAAAAAAAACTATGAACGAATTCCTATGCACACTGCACATATCTTATTTTGAAGTAAAAAAACAAATGGGGCAAAAACACCCGGCAGGCTGGAGAAATGTCCTTGGCAGGCTGCATGTGGCCCATGGGCTGTAGTTTGAGGGCGCCTGCTCTAGTCTAACCGATTAACACATGATGGTACCTGGAGTCCTAGAGAAACAAATCATGAAGATGGAGAGTGGAGGCTAGTTTGACCCATGCCTCACGGTAGACTTTCTTCTTTGGCTAGCCAGAGGTCAGATCTGACCATGCCGTTTATGGGGTTGTTTTCTGGAAAAAATGTGGGAAGTTAAAAGTATAAAGTTTTCATACTTTTGTTTGGTTGTTGTCTCTTGGCTATTCCTGTTTACAATGGCGAAAATGAATGTGATTAATGTACTTTTTGAGCTAAGGGGGCAAAATAGCCCCTTGAACTTCTTAGAGACCATACTAGGTAAAAATGGCTGACAGAAGGTCAAAATGGCTCACAGAAAGCTTGGGCCTGGCTTGAGTAAGTCAGAGGTCTAAGGTCATATTTTGTATCACTGGAATAATTTAGATAAGGATTAAAATAAGCTAAATAAGGATTTAACTTGACTGTTTTAAGAAATGATTTAGGATCTGATTCTACTTCGTTTATACTGATTTCTTCTGCTTCTTGTTATTGATATAATGATTGATAGAAATGGTTGAGAAGTATGAAAATAGAAAGGTTATAGGCCCACTTGTCTTCAGCCATTAAAATTGGATCATTAAATGGGTTTAGAGCACACCTACAAAGAAGGCTCTGAAAAGATAAGCCCAGTGTCTTGAGTGCTCAGGACATTCAAAGGTGAAGAGACTTGCCTAATGGGCTGTTGACAGATTGAGGTAAAAAGGAACTCTTTGCATTTATGAATTTTGAACTAGTGTTTTTTTCCCAAAGCTGGAAAAAATCTGGAGCCCTAAAGAAACTCTTCTATAGGACTGAACCTTACAGGGAGCCTGTGGGCAAGCAAGGGTATTACTTCGAGGAATAAGGTGTGCCAGACAGCATGGAATTTTCAATGGCTTCATATGTATGTAAAAGGTGGACATTGGGTAAGGAAGACAGAAGATGAATAGATTGTGGTGCTGGTAAAGAGTACCGAAATTATCATGGACTGCTAAAAGGACAAAATGATCTGTCTTGGAAGAAGTACGGCCAGAGTGCTTGTGATAGGTTTTCTGTGCCAACATGGCTCCAGGAGGAAGATGTGGGTGTAGTTTAGCCTGTCAATCAGGTCACAGCTCGATTGGAGGAAGACCAAGATAAATTACTTTCTCAGGCTAGCCTCCCCTCTTCCGCCCTGGTGATCAACAGCATGCTGATGCCTAAACTAGTCCTTTGCCTCAACTGTGTGCTGCACTACCTCCTAGGCAAGTTAAACCTGTGGATTGTGTCACCATGTTGTGCATCATTAGAGCCTGAGGCTCCATCAGGACCCTGCTTCACTAGGCTGCCATGCCTCTATTGAGGCATGACTTCTCATCTTCCTGCTGTTGACGTCCCACTCTGTGATGTTTGCTGCCTGCAGGCCAACTCTGCTCAAGTTGCCAGAGGGAAGATTTCTCTGTCTTCTTCCTTGATCTTGGACCAGTGGGCTACATGAGTTGAAGGATCTTCAGTATATTAACTGTCCCATGAAAGTGAGTTGAACTGTACTTTGGTGTGAACTAATTAGCTGCTGTTGCATTCCTTCTTGCTATATAAACCTATATGTATGAATAAAATCATAACTGTCCTGGTTTCGTTTCTCTAGAGCAGTGGTTCTCAACCTGTGGGTTGCGACCCCTTTGGGGGTTGAACGACCCTTTCACAGGGGTTGCCTGATTCATAACACTAGCAAAATCACAGTTATTAAGTAGCAACAAAGATAATTTTATGGTTGAGGGTTCACAACAACATGAGGAACTGTATTAAAGGTCATGGCATTAGGAAGGTTATGCCTAACACAGCATTCTTTAGAGACAGGAATGGAGAAACTTCATCTCACATAATTTGGACATGTTCTCAGGAGAGACCATCCCTTCGAGAAAGGCATCATAGTTAGTAAAGTAGAAGGGCAGCAAAAATGGGGAAGGTCCTTGATAAGAGGAATTGACACAGTGGCTACAACAATAGGCTCAAGCATAAGAACAATTCTGAGGACGGTGCAGAAATGGGCAGTGTGTCATTTTGTGGCACATAGGGTCACTATGGGTAGGAACTGACTCAGTGGCATCTAATAATAACAAATATTTGTTGACTCGAGGTTAAGATTAACAGCTGCAAAAACCATCTAATGATTGGAACATGGAATGTGGAAAATGAGAAATTAAGAAAATTGGAAGTGGTCAAAAATAAAATGGAACACATGAAGATCAATATCACAGGCATAAGTGAGCTGAAATGGACTAATATTTGGACATTTGAAACATAAAATCATATGATTTATTAAGCTGGGAATAAAGAAATGGCATAGCCTTCATTGTCAGAACGGATCTTGCTAAACTCTTCATGAAGCACAATACTATCTGTGATCAGAGTATCTCTATAGGTCTTCAAGGAAATACAATCAATACAACTATCATTCAACTTTATGGACCAACCACAAAAGCTAGTGATGAAAGAGTTGAAGAATTCTACCAAGGACTTCAGTCTGAAATCGAACAATCATGCAATTAAGATGTGATTATAGTTATTGATGATTGAAATGCAAAAGTTGGAAAATATGGACTCAGTTATAGAAATTAAGCTGGAGATTGCATGACAGAATTTTGTAAAACAAACGACTTGTTCATAACAAATACCTTTTTTCAACAACACAAAAGAAGGCTATACACATGGACTTCCTCTGATGGAGCACAGAGAAATCAAATTGATTACATATATGGGAAGACACAATGTAAAATCTCAGTATCAGCAGGTAAAAGCAGACCAGAGGCAGACTGAGGACAATCAGTTGTTCAACAGTAAGTTCAGGATGAAGCTGAAAGAAATTAAAACAAGTAGACAGAAGCCAAATGATGACACTGAGTCTATCCCACCTGAATTCTGAGAAAGAACTAATTTGATGCATTGAACACTAATGATAGAAGACCTATGGGAGCACATCAAGACCATCCTT